CACATCCGGGAGCTGCAGGAATAGCAGTAGAGCACCGATGCATGATCTCCAGCTGCTGTCAGTTGCTCACCAGCAGGTGGCGCAAGCGGCTGTTGATGAAGACCAAAGCAACAGGTAGATCAAGTCATTCATTCACAAAAACAGATTTGCAGAAATGGAGCAAGCGCTAAGTAGAAGTTTTGATTATCGGGGCCAGTATAAACATGTGGAAAAGCTGATTGTGTGTATGTTTAATTCAACATCTTCGCTGTTTCCCTATTATACTTTATGTATTTATTGTTTTGTATTCTGGTTGTGTATGTATTTTATTGCTATGACTGTATCCCCTATGAATGTTATATTTAAAATAAAAAAAATTAAAATCTTAGCTGTTTCCCATAGCCTACATGTAAGCAGCTTTCTCTACCACAAAGGAGATTATAATGCTATTTTACCCAACGCTGATGTACAGAACTAACATTACATCTGAGGAAGACATATATTGCTTTCGTTTGCTTAGTTTCCTTAACTTGTATCATGGCTTGTGTGACCTGTGCTGTAATACTGGGGTTCCCCTCATACATCACACTCCAGGATTCCCCAAGGACACTTAACATGCATTATGCAATGCATTATTTGCATTATTTTTTTTCAGTTAGTGCTATTCAACGTGCTTTTTTGTTTCAAAGACATATGGCATTATTTTTCTTCCATAACATTCTGTCAAACTCCAGTAATTTGTGTAAATTAAAGTCACCATATCTCTGTAACAACTCTGTAAAGTCTTATATTTAAGTTTTTTTTTTTTTTGTAGCTTCTTTTAGCCAGACACTTTCTCCACATCAGCGGTTTTTAAACGATCTGATGAACAATATGTTAAAACCTTTGATGGAAAATTAAAAATAAATAAGCTGCTCAGTGAGAGATATGGGGAGAGATTTATTCTTACATTGTTTTATTGATGCGTGCTGTTAAAAACTAGCGCTGTTGATGGAATATAATAATTTTTAAAAACTAGGGCTAGAATAAAATAATCACAATTTATTTCATGACTCTAAAAAGCAGATCAGGTAATAATGTAAAATTCAGTAAATGCATTTTTTGTAGGATTGCAGCAAGACTATCAAACACAGCTATAGAAGTCATTTATGTAGGTATGTCCTTTGATGATTGATTTAACCCATTGATGAAGTATTACGCATAACCCCTGACCTTTGTATGTTTTTATTGTTGTCCTTTTTTCCAGTGATAGATGCAGGTCTATATTACCCGATTTACTAATTCCTTGTTAATAGCGACTGTGCTTCATTTAGTAAATAGTTGAAATGAAAAATAGCAAAGACATCTGTCACAAGTATGAAAAAAAACTGGCTTCAGGTATTGAATTCTGTCCAAAAATAACTAGAGAAACAAAAACACACTGAGTCTGGGAAAATATGGTTCATTGTCCTTTAATAAGGTCATCAAGTCACAAGGGAGCCATCTTGTATTAATTCACACAGGAACAGCAGAAAGACAGCAGGCGAGGTTGTGTGCAAAATAAATACATATGGCAGGAGGAAAGGGGCCACATTAGAGGAACAGGTAAACTTCATTAGAACAAACAAATAAAATCATAATCATCATCATCATCATCACCATCATCACCAAGACAACCACCATGTTGCCGCATCATCATCCACATCGTTACCCTCAGTATCACAACCAATACACAGTCTTCTTTCTTTTAAATACAGAGTTCTATTTGAATTATTGCATTATATACGCACTTTAAAGAAAATGTCATTTTCTGTAACAGTATGTCATGTGACGTGTGAGTCTATATTGTTCGTGTCTGCATGCATTTAGGGATTGTTTCTGTTGTGTGTAGCGCTCATCATAGTGTAACTGCGAAATTGAAGCTGTTGGCCGAGAGCCGTCATAATCTACGTTGCATCTATTTCCATTGGCCCACTTCAGAAAATCGTCAACATCGTTCAATCAAGAAACTAAGATTTTGAAATGGCACAGATGGTCTACAGTATGCAATTCACAGGCAAGATTATTGAATTATTGAATGACTTGTGTTTGTTCGATGGCTGATGTCAAATACAAAATGAACCCATATAATATTTGAAATAGCTGAGATTCTTTCTTTACCTTTCTACACCTTCTCTCAACAATACAGGCCTAATTGTAATAGATATCAGTGGCTTGATATGTACATATGGATTTGCACAAGCATTTAAGTATGAAACCAATTGCTTTTATTGGTATCAAGATATAAATGGCATTTAATTTCTATAAATGACAGAAAAATTCTGTATTTTTAACCTTGAATCATGTATCTTAACGTTATTGTAGCTGGCAGTTATGGATTTAAGTCCAGCTTGAAAAACGGAAATATTTTTGGATAATTGGTTTAATCTCAACATTGTGGCGTGAATGAGGGTGTTTTTGAGCGTCAACCAGCAGGCAGAGTGACTAGGATGAAAGTTTTGGTGGAAATGTGCATTGGCTACAACTAAGTTGAATGTTATATGAAAAGTGTTTGGCCTAAATGCATCTCTAGCTTGCTTTAGTAGCTGGCAGGAACGTCACCACAAGCACTGAAATTAAAGTACAGCATAAAATTAAGACGCCTAGTGTGTAGAGTGACCATACGTACTCATTTTCCCGGACATGTCCTGGTCAGGATTTCTACATTACTTAAAATGCCCGGGTTTTGACTTTGTTTTCCTGTTGAAGCAGTCTCTATAGTCTTCATACATTGTATCTATGTGAATTTGCATTGCTTTGGCCGTTCTCTGTAGATCCCACCTTCGCATGTGCCACGATTGGTCGATTATATACAATGCCTGCATGCTACTTTTCAGTCATTATGAAAATCAAAGCCAAAACCCGGACATTTTTGGCAATTTGGAAATCCTGGCCAGCACATGCTCAGGACAAATAGGACATATGTTCACCCCACTAGTGACTCCCCACCCCTTTATATAAACTTTAATAGTCTGTGAAGTAATCAACCCCACTGTTTAACAATTAATCTTAGGCCTCGGGTCAGTTTTTCTTGGCTAATAAGATTACGCCCACCAATACAGCTCCAAGGGCGATGACAGCTCCTCCAATCAGGAAAGGCTTCAAATTTTCTAAGGTTTCACAGCTACTTCCTGCGGACTCCGCTGCCCCCTGTTGGTTGGTCGCTCCATCTTCCGCCGGCTTCTCGGGTTCTGTGGGTTCAGCAGAGACGGGGTCTGGTTTTGGCGGTGGGGCTGCCTCCTTCTTCTCTGCTTTGGAGGCAGACTTCGACGCTCCTTTGGCTTTTGCTTCCATGTGGGAATGGGATCAAGGAGTCAAAGAATCCGGCAGGTTTTCCTGGGCTTTTCTTTAGGAATACAAATATAAAGAAAATGGAGAGATTGAGGTTTTCAATTTCTCAATGTGCACTGTTCAAAAGTTTGGGTCAGTTTTTTTTTTTTTTTTGAAGGAAGTCTCTTTTGCCCAGCAAGGTTGCATTTATTTGATTAAAAATACAGTAAAAACAGTAAAATTGTGAAATATTATTACAGTTTAAAATAACTGTTTTCTGTTTTAATATATTTTAAAATAGAATTTAATCCTGTGATGCAAAGCTGAATTTTTAGCATCATCACTCCAGTCTTTAGTGTCACATGATCCTTCAGAAATCATTCTGATATACTGATTTGCTGCTCAAGAAACATTTATTATTATCAATGTTGAAAACAGTTGTTCTGTTTAATATTTTGTGCACCGTGATGTATTTTATTTCCAGGATTTTTTATATTAATAAAAAGATCAAAAGAACAGCAGTTATTTGTAACATTATAAAGGTCTGTACTGTCATTTTTGGTCAATTATAACAAAAAAAAAAAAAACACTTACTGACCCCATATGTAAAAATATTAAAAGAATGTTAAAAGAATTAACAAAAATGTAAAAAATAAATAAATAAATAGATAAAATAAAATAAATACATTAAAAATTACAAAACCTACCATTATAATACTTTCGCATTTTCTAATATTTATTTATTTATTTATTTAATTATAGTTTTTGCTTGACAGCAGTGGACCGAACTAGCATTATATGAAAAAGAGCTGCTGAAGCAAATTCTCCTTTTGCATTCCACAGAAAAATGCATATGGGTATGGAATGAAAAAAATATGTGAATATGTCACAAAAACAGAATTGTATCACGTGAAACATTTGAGTCTTTGACCTTGATGTAGCAATGACATTACTGTATATGCAGTGGCCTACTGACTGCTATATGCTACACGCTCACATGCTATATTTGCTTGTATTAGACAGCCAAAGGGCAGCATCCATTAGTCGTTGCTTCCTTAAAAAGCATGTGCATCTTTTATGTGTAGAAGCTCTTTTTTTAGGGTATGTGGGACAAAAGTGACAAGTAACTCTTAACATCAGTCATGTTCCTTACAGACCTTTTGCACCCACAAAACACAATGAATGATGTTTCTTAAGCATTAAACATGAGCTAGTTCATCTGCAGCATGCAGAAATATCGCTGTGAATCTGCATGAGTCATACAGGACCGGTGGAGGGGAGCACTGTACATTAAAAATAAATAAAATCACACAAAAAAAAAAAGGACTGAAGCCACGCAGAACCATGCAGAGAAAGCGTAACCTGGAAAGACGGACTGAAAATGGGTTAATTGAGCATCTGATGGATGTGATTAATGTAGTGATGCAGTTATGATGGCTGCACAGGCCACAGCAGCGCATCACATTCTCTTCCAGTTCTGATGGATGGATGGAAAGATGATGATGGCTGGAACGTACCTTCTTTATGTTGCCTTGTAATCCTTGCTCACCTTGTCCTCTTTTCAAAGAAGGATGAAGAGACAGAGGATGAGAAACCAAGAGATCTGCTCTGCAGGAAGGCCTGAATCCGTCCTCAAGGAGAAACAGAATCAAAGGAAATGGAGTGATGGAGGGCACAGCAGCAAGAGGAGGGGGAGGGGGAGGAAGAGGAACTGGGCTGTACCACTCAATCAGTGAGAACAGGGGGGCGCAGTGCAGCTGGGGTGCGTGTGCTTTCGTTCAGCTCGAACTGGTGTAATGGTTGTTGCATTGACGTTTTATGTAATTTTACCTTATTGACGTCATTTAGGTGCTACAATCCACAGCAAACACAGACAGTTACTATCCTGGGGCTATCTCTCTCTCGATCTGTCTGTCTCTCTATCTATGATGAAATACTGAGTATATAAATTATCTAACAGTATATGTCGTGTTTATCTATCTATCTATCTATCTGTCTACTATGCATATAAATTATCTATCGAACAGTAAATATTGTGTATATAAATTATCTATCTATCGAGTAAATACTGTGCATATAAATTATTTATCTAATATATTATGCATATAAATTATCTATCTATCTATCTATCTAGAGTAAATACTGTATATCAATTATGTATCTAACCATATATATATATATATATATATATGGTTAGATACATATATATACATAGGCCTATATATTGCCTATTGTCTATCTATCTATACTATGCAATGAAGTACTTTATAAATGTATGTATTGATTAATTGATTTGTTTCTCATCCATTGGCACTCCCTGCTGCTTACAACGGCTTAAGAAATTCAGGAAATGACGTCGTTCCACGCCCAGCATACTAATTCGGAGGAGTCTCCTCTGTATTCACTAAACCCGTCCCAGCAGTGTGCCAGTGGTTCCTAAGCAGCGGAAAAGCGCAGCGCCTCTTACGGCAGCCAACGGATGACGTGAGCTACGCCAGGAGCGCACGCGGGAAACGGGACGCGGGTCCAGTATGCGCAACTGGAATGGAGAATCGCAACGACGTTGCTTCAATGGAAAAAAGATCGTAGCGAAGATATACAGCAATCAATCTGACTGGGACCTGCTGCTGCTGCTGCGGAGGACAGTGCGGGACCTGGACTTACCGCACGATTTTACTATGCGGAGAGGGACTGTCACGGAATAAATGTTTGATCCGTGCGTGCGTGAATATTTCTGCGGTTTGAGGGGAATATGGAGCGGCTTCTGACGCGACGCGCGCTTGGAAAGGCGTGAAAATATCGGTGACGTTACGGAGGAATGTCACTGAAACTGAGGCGATCGGTATGAAATAAAAAAAAAGCCGTTTCTGGACAGCCGCAATTAAACACATCCTCACTCCTTCATGTGTCTGTGTGAGTGCAAACGGGACGCCGCATTAACGGGACTGTTGCTGTTCTGAGACCTGTGGCTGGTTCGGAACCGTGATCTGGGTCGGTTGTGCGGTTCGGTGTGTGTGTGTGTGTGTGTGTGTGTGTGTGTGTGTGTTTGCGGAGGATGGGAGATTTAACGGAGTCCATGCAGAAGAAGGTGTCGGGAAGAAGCGCTCATACTACAGGTGAGTCTCTGTACTGGCGACCCATATGAAAATTTACCACGATAACCGCAGTTTCCGCCAGAAAAGCGTAACGTTAGTTACTACAGTTATTACGCTAACGAAAAAACACAAATGTTTTTGTTTGGATATGGTACATTTATTGCGATTCTTTGAAGCACCTCTGAGTACTTTCAGTACTATGGTATTGTCATCTGTCTGTGATTGTGTACAACAATAACTATAGCCTAACGTTAGTTATCACAGAATACCTTTAATATTGTTATCGCACTAACGAAAATTACCATGGTTTTTTGGGCAAATACCTTGGTAGTACTGTGGTATTCTTTGAAGTACTTTGATTATCTAATAGCATGGTATGCGAATATGGTGATCATTCTGTGCAATGTTATATTACTCAAAAAAGTACTATGCTTTACCATTTTATGCCAAAGTCACAGTCCTTTTAGGCATATCAGATTATCGTGGTATTACCATGTTTATATATATATATATATATATATATATATACACACACACGTGTACAGTGGTACTAACATGGTGTTCTTGGAAGTACATTAGATTCTTGCATTATTATGGTGATCTTTAATAAAACGTTAACCATAGTTTAATATGATATTCATAATTCATAAATTCACAAAAGAATATATTACTCATTGCGGTTATTGCACAGAAAGTACCATAGTATTTCCAAGGTTATTTAAACTTGGTACCATATTGTTTTGTTGAATGTATTAATGTTTGTATTTTGCCAGGATCTATTGGTGAGCATTCAACAATTTAGTCATTTTTAAGGTCATGCCTTTATAAACCTGCATGAATAACAGTGCATTTATGAAGGAATAGTTTTGCATTGCTGCAGGCATGCGAGCACACCCGGCATTTCTGGTACATGCCCAGCTAATTACATTATATTGTGGTGAGTTAGAGTATGTTACTTCTTTTCATTGCCGGTGAGGATTACCTGAGCTTTTTGACAGCGGTATTGCAGATCTTCATGTCTACTGCACACACATAGTGTGAAAAGGAGAGTGAAGTTCTGAACCAGAGGCTTTTAATTCTTAATGGAGAGGTTGTGGTTGTATCTTCAAGGCTGGATGAAGCCCATCAGTGGTTTGAAGGGGCCAGCAAATGCATGCTCACTTTGAGAGGAAATTGCTGTTAATTACTGAGTGCAGCTTTTTGCATATGGACAAAGAGCATGTTTTAGGATCATTTTGTTGGTGTGTTGTTTAGCTGATTTAACCCTTGAGCCGTATTTGAACAGATTATCAGCTGATTGTGGGATCTTCAGTGGTTGATGTCCATCTAGTGAGCAAGGTGGCTGATGACTGATAATATGGGGAAATAAGTTGCACAGAAAACTGCTGCTAAAATGAAAGCAGACAGTGAGCGCTGTCTATTGATGACAACTGTTGAATCTAGGCATAATGATTACTTGCATTAATCGAAACTGCTGCGACTGATGCAGATATGGCCAAATATCAGATGATTAATTTGTCGGGGCGAAATATTGTTTTTTATCACTAATGTATGCAAATGTGCCTTTAAAGTCAACAGGTAATTAAATTTGACCTTTCATTTTTAATACATATATTATTTTCAGAAACTTCATGCATGGCTAAATTCTTGTATGAAATGCCCACTTTTTACAATCCAATTAATTTCAGATGGATAAAATCATATCGCACCATACTGTTTTTTTACGGGTTCGTTTGGAAATATAAAGCATATCTTATTGGACTGCTATGCTTTTAATGCAAGTAAACAACAATTTTATTTAGTAAGATCTCATAAGGACTTGTTGAATTAAATCCTTCCAGAATTATATTTTTTTTAAATATCATTTAAAAATTTCAAAACACCTTGTGTATTTTTAAAATATATTGTATTTTTCTATTTTATTTTGTTCTGATTTATTTTATGTTTTACAACTCAGCTGGAAGAAAATGGACAACACAGCTTTTGCTATGAAAATAGCCTCAGCTGCTGACATGGCTTTAACATTTATACTATTTCTACTTTGGAAATTCGTTACATTGTGGAAGAAAATTGTATGTGAACTAGGGCTGGGCGATATGTCAAAATTATCTTATCGATAATCGCCTTTAAAAATATCGCGATATCCGATAATATCGTCTACCTAAACCACCTCCACCACGCCCCGCCTCCGCCGAGACAACATTGCCGACATGCACCATAAGCACACACCATGTTCAGTTTGGTCTTAATTATTGCCACAACGTTTGGTTTTACTTTTCTTAGTTTGTGCTTAAACTAACAGAAAACATTAGCTTTGCTGTTATGTTGGTGTTGCTAATAATTTCCACTCTCTTCTTATCAAATTTGTGTTTGAAATGAATTTCGTTTTGTGAGGAGAACTGTTGAGGAAAAATAATAGAACCCAATTTTAAGTTCATCATGGTGAAGTTGGACATTTTGGCGGTAATTGTAATAATAATAAATACATGTTGATGTCATATAATAATGTCTTGAATAAAACATGCCTATTTTCCGATGTTTCTCTTTCTTTTTGGCATTATCGCCTGTGTAGACATTTCATGATGATAACTGCTTTATTTATTTAGAAGCAGGGTTATTTAAATTTAATTTTTGTATTGTCATTTTTATAATTTTTATTTTATTAATCAAAATGCAATGCCCACAATATAATATTCAGTGTTGGGCTGCCGAAACTCCGAACGCGTGCGAGGGCGAGCTTCGAAGCCTAAAAAAGTCTTCATCCGTTATATGACTTCATCCACTATAAAGTTTTGTTGCAAATGAATTAAGAATGCATAGTGCTATATCTCAGCTTAATTAAACATAATTATATTATATACACGGTTTAAAAAATCTGTAAAAATATTACACGGAAATGTGCGCTGAAGGAATTTGTCTTTTAATTATACCTGTCATGCTTGTGGTTTTTCATCATTATACAGTCTGTTTAAATAACTATTCAGAAACGCATCCAGTGCTACTCCCAACCCCCCTACTAAATTATTTCATTCTTGCATGCAAAAAGACCTGTATGGTGACTATGGTGCTATGTAAAATATTTTTTGCATGGTTTATCATTTGTCTTTTTTTTGCCCCGATAATGTCGATAATCGTCTGTTACCTAACTGCTGACATCGACATCGCGATACTTATGAGACATCGTCGATATACGATAATATCGTCATATCGCCCAGCCCTAATGTGAACATTGTTTCATGTACCAAATCCCAAGGCTGCCTGATTCATATTTTAGTTGTGATCATTTATACTGAAAATGTCAAGAGTTAAAATCCCACAATCAGAGCTTTTATCTTAAATGTATTTTTCGCCCCACCATGTTTTACTTGATTTTTCCAACCTGGCAACTGCATTGCAAAAATGTGCTAATGAGCTGAAAACACTGACAAGCATATTACATGGAGTTTAGCGATCTCCATTGCGATTTTCTAATCAAATGTATTAAAATGTATTAAATTACGAAATAATTTAACCATCGTGCAGCCGTACTTCTCCACCATCCCCCATGAAGAACAAGCAAAACAACTCTATTATTATTCAATCAAAGGCTGAGTGTCTTGTGTGGTACTGAGGTGTAGATGGGGTCTTGAAATCGCCTGGAGGCTCCATTTGGTCTTCTGAAGCAGGCTTACTTCCCATGTAGTCTCCAGTATTGGACTGAATTGAACACACTTGCGATTAGCCAGTCAAGCCTCTCACAGCATAAACAATCTTCCAATCAAAGGATGTCCTTTGTAGATAATACAGTTTATAAAGAGTAACCGTTATTTTGCCCTCAGTCTTTCCAGTCTTTGCTCACAGTGATGCAATAGACAGACTTGAGAAATGATTGCAAGATTGCAGTGCACTTCCTCTGGTGCGTCCTGTACAGTGATTGCAGAAATATTGATTATAGCAGTACTAACTATAAATAAAATGTTTATTAAATATTATATATCTTTATACAGTAATTATAAATTATACAGTTATTATACCTAAAACTTAATTTTAAATTTACTAAAAATAAAATAAAAATAATTTCCAATTATTTAATCAAACTCTCTCTTTTTTTTTTTTTTTTTTTTTTTTTACAGCGGATGGAATTAAAGAAAGAATTTCTGGTTTTGTAATTACTGCCATTGGGCCTCATTAATAAAACACAAGCGGAATGACATTTTTTGTAAATAATTTGTAGAACAATAGATTGAGTGCAACAATTTACATGAGAATGGTTTATGAACCATTCAGTTGGCTCATGATTCTTGAATGAGATCCAATGTCAGTGTTTGATCTTTAGTTTAGCAGTTCACCACCTTTTCACGTTTGCAGATCTGTGTTCTGATAAAACATTGATGGTGTGTAATATGTCGTGTGTGTATATGATATCCAGTCTCTGCTAGTGTTGTCACGGTACCAAAATTTCAGTATTCGGTACCAATACCAGTGAAAATCCACGGTTCTTGGTACCAATTTCGGTACCAAAGCAAAACACAAAAACATGCTAATTGAACAACATTTTTATTAATAACGTTAAACAAAAATTAAATGTACAAAACCAATGCCATTCTTTATACTTATTTAAAATTGTTACAAGTTTTTCCACAAGTAATAAAAGTATGAAAAAAGTAAACAAGTTTCACCCAAAAGTTTAGTCATAGTTCTGCTGCCGCTGAAAAACATCTGTAAACTGTTGTCTGTTTTAGGGTTTGCTGGTGTGTTTCAGGATCTTCCTCAGTCTGCAGCTGTAAAAGGAAAATATAATATACT